TCCAAGAGTTTAGTGTCAGCTGAGCCAGAATTATTTGCTCAAGTCAGTGACTCAGATATGTGACATATTTTACAGTGGCTGTTTCCAAGTCCTGGCAATGCCTCGTCCATATTATGCCAGATGATGAAGCGTTTCTGGGATTACTGTTATATGTGTTCTCCCCCCCACACACACTTTTTTTCTTTTTTGACTGAATTAATTGTATCATTGTATTATTTCTTCTCACTTCTTCTGTGACCTTACATTTTAATTATTCATAAGTCCTTTTAAAACATCCTCAGAGAGATCCATAAGGGGAAGTTCTGGAGATGGAAAATCCAAGAGAGGAAAAGTTGGTATTAGAATGTCCTTGGCTTTCCTGGTATTTGCTGTAAACTTCTGCCAAGTAAAAGAGGCTGTAGTAGTTTCTGAAGGTAGTGGCAAGCTCCATAACTCTGACTTTTCTACAAAATCAGCATCTATTTCCAACTCCTTTTCTTTCAGACATTTTGGAAGTCTGGTCTTTTCAGCCCTTAGTTCATTTTCTTTCCCTAACCGTTCATTCTTAGCCACAAGGAATTCCACGTGTCTCTTTAAATCTGCAATTTTGCTTGCCTGCTTCTCTATAATTGTTTTATCATCTTTTGGGGATTTGCTTCCCATACATAGCTATTGACTCACTCTTTTTCTCAAGTAAAAATAGCAGTGTGTCTGGATCCCTGTCAAAGATCCCGTGAATTTCAGGCAGGTATCTTTCTGTGGAAGGGCTATACTTCTGAGGAAGAAGGGGATTCTGGCCCTCTGTCCTCAGCAGAGGGTTTATGAGATGCCCAAAGATGGGTAGATACACCCTTGTCTGCGTTCTGCTGAGCTTTCAACCTTTCCTCATGCTTTGCCTTTTCCCACCACTTCTGAATGAGGAGCTGTTTCATGTGGCTGTCCCTTTGCAATTTCATTGATAATTGAGCCTACACAACCTGTGTCAGTGTCATGGCTTCAGAAAAATAAGCTGCAGCCTTTTTGTGACAAAAAATAGCCTCTTTGTATTTTTCTATGGCTAATAAACGATGCTCTCATCTGCTCTATAGATGAGCCAGGTTGAGAGGTCCTTCCATCACTTCCATAGACCCCAGGAAAAGCAGCAGCCTGAGGAAGGAGAGCAGTGGCACCAGGGTACATGGAGGGAAGCAGTGGGGAGGCATAACACAGCTTTGGAGACTGTAGTCTCTCTGCTTCCCGAGAGCCAGCTCCACATTGCTAAATCTTGTCAGCTCTCCATCCTCATGTTAACCTAGGAGTAGCATTGACACAATCACTTTTGCTATCTTAACACCTCTCTACTCTGACTTCTGGGACATCTCTTACTTCTCTTTCTATCCCATTAGCTATTCTGTCTCCTTTGCTGGTTCTTCAACTAACCACTAAATGTTCAAGTCCTCTGGGTTCACCTCCAGTTCTCTTACTGCCCTTCCTCCCCGGTGGTCACATCCACTTTTCATGACTTTATAAACTATCCATTTCCTGGTGGCTCCAAAATTAGCATCTTTAGCCCCAGGTCTATTCTGTAAACAACATATTCATCCTACTACCCAACTAAGATTTTTATGTAGGTAACTAGTAGGCATCTCAGTTTTAAAATATCCAAACCTTATATCCCTTACCCTCATCGATTTTCTTTTTCTTTTCTTCTTTCTTTTTCTTTACCTTTTTTTGATTCAGAGTCTCACTATGTCGGCCTCAGTTGAGTGCTGTGACATCACAGCTCACAGCAACCTCAAACTCTTGGGCTGAAATGATTCTCTTCCCTCAGCCTCCCAAGTAGCTGGGACTACAGGTGCCCACCACAATGCCCAGTTATTTTTTTGTTGCAATTATTTAGCTGGCCTGGGCCATGTTCAAACCCGCCACCCTCAGTGTAGGTGGCTGACGCCATAACCACTGTGCTACAAGTGCCAAGCCCCTAATCTGTTTTCTAATGAAAGTAAAAGTCGGCTCGGCGCCT